AGGGTTTAGGGTTTTAGGGCTTTCGGTTTTTAGGTTTATAGGGTTTAGGGTTGATGATAGTACTTGGAGGGTCGGGAGACTTAGTAAGCAGGTAATAAGTAGACTTATAAGTACCCGAAAAGGAACCCTAATTGGAGTTGTAGTACTTCTAAGTCTATAAAAGAGCCATTTACTAAGTCCCCCAACCCTCCAAGCAGTAGCCCCTTGATACCAGGGGTACTTTTTGTTCCCTAGTATTCGGTTTTAGTAAGCAGACCCCCAAATAACTGGACAAAAACGGCGACAACTGGAGAAGCTACCCAGAGAACCCAACTTAACTAAGGAAAAAACCCGAAATCACCGTATTAAGGCTTCCATGTGTTAAGGTATGTTCCTTCCTTAGGGAATATACCTTAGATCATAATATTAAGGGCCCCAATATTTTAAGGTACATTCCTTCTCTAAGGGTTAGTGGGTTCTCTGGGTACTAGTGAGGAAGCTAGGCGCAAAAGGCCCAGGTTGATGCTACCGTCGAGACGGCGGACACATCGGAGCAACAAGGGATATGCTGCCTTGGCTCTGACTCCGGAGAGAACAAGACAGGACTTTGTTGAGGCTTGGGGTTGGGGTTTAGGGTTTAGGGCTTAGGGCTTAGGGTTTAAGGCTTAGGGCCTGGTGTTTGGGGATTTCGAAGGAGAAGCAGTCACATTGTCTTGGCACTTGAGCAAGACTGCGTATGACTTCTGATGACCAGGTACGAAGGTTAGCCAAGGGGCAGGGTACACCAACATGGAGAAGAGGCATTCAGTGAACTGCACAGCAAAATACTCGAAGTCAGATTGATAGCCCAGGGCGTGAAGGGAAGGCCTTCCGGCCCAAGCAACAGGAGGAAAAGACAAGGTCCAGGGGAACATGGCCAGCAGACAGACCTCAGTTCTTCGACTGATTCTATCGAAGGTTTGTGCTCTTCAAAAGCTGCACTTGGTGCAAAAAGATGCTCTGGAATAAGCTGCAAGACACAGTATAAGGTATGTCAATCACGTCCCCAAGGTCTTCGACAACTGCATCATGCATTGGGCCTTGAACATACTTGTTGAACTCTTCCAGGCAATCTTCATGGGTGGCAAGACCCGTCGCAGAACGCAAAGCAAGACGATCTGAGAATGTCAGCGACGAATCGATAAGCTCCTGGTTTCAACACTTCAGAGTAGGGTTTAGGGCTTAGGTAGACTTTTGTTGTACATAGTATATTTCTAACAAGCAACCCCATCGGAAATTGTTCAGGCTTCCTAGAGCAAATGCTCCAAAGCCTCGCAACAGCCAGTGCAGGCAACCACGCCCACCAAAGACGAAGCAAAGACCGCAAAATCAAAATGCGCCCAGCAGCCAACCCCTAAACCCTAAGCCCTAAACCCTTAACCCTAAACCCTAAACCCTAAACCCTAAACCCCTAAAACCCTAAAACCCTAAGCCCCTAAGCCCTAAACCCCCAAACCCCGAAACCCCTAAACCCCCAAACCCAAAGCCCCTAAAGCCCTAAGCCCAGAGACAAGCTCTTGGAGGGCCTACTCCATTCTCCACGTCTGCTGTTCCGGACGACTGCAATACAGGTTTAGGGTTTAGGGCTTAAGGTTTTAGGGCTTTAGGGCTTTAGGGTTTTAGGGCTTTAGGGTTTTAGGGTTTTAGGGTTTAGGTTTAGGGTTTTAGGGTTTAGGGTTTGGGGTTTAGGGTTTAGGATCTAGGGGAGCCGAACACTACCCATACGCCCCATAGTAATTCCTTTTTGGGATTCCCCAATAGGATCCTAAATATAAGCCACAAAAAGGAACTACTATGGGGCCTATGGGTAGGATCACAAAGGCCCACAGAACAACATCACAACCCAAAGCTCACAAACCCAAATGGTCTAAGTACCCATATAATAGTA